TTTTTTTTTTTTTTTTTTTTTTTTTTTTTTTTTCGTCAGGAAAATCCATCATGGAGAACCATTCCCTTAGGGAAGAATGGATACTGCCGGACTCCTACCTGCTAAAAACCTGACGACTGTTCCTCCTCGACATAATCGCCGTGGCCATGGGATACGCAAAGCATTCACCAAGACCACCGGCATGGTTCCCATCGAAGGGACCTTTCCATCTAGGCGTGCAGGGAACAGTCTCTGCACGCCACCTCCAGACCCTAATGCCTCCCCGGTGAGCTTCGGATTGCCCTAACAATCCTCCACCCTAGGGTCAAATATGGAGTCGATGCCCACCTGATTTTACTCAGGTGTCCATCGACTCCCCCCCCCCACCTGTGGCCTGCGCCGCGGCGCGGGCCTTAGGCGGGCGACACTGCTTCGTGACGCCCACTCTATGGTCGGACTTGCGACCCGCCGCGGCACAGTACCGACAGTTCGGTGATGGCGCGGCGCACCGTGCGGCCTTGTGGCCGGGCTCGCTGCAGCGGAAACATATTCCGCTGCTATCTTGCTCGGCGGTGCATCGCAGGCCCACATGCCCTGTGAGCAAGCAGCGATAGCACCGCTGCGGCCTCGGGTCCAAGGACTGCACCCGCGCCACCATCCACCCTATCCTCAGTCGGCCGGCCTCGACCAACTTCTTCGCGGCGACCACCGGACACCGCACCCAGATGGAGCCCGTACCCTGCGCGTTGCGTCGGATCTCCCCGGTTTTCACCGCGGATTCCCGGCACTCCCCTTCGCGTATGACTGCGACCACTACATCGGCTACCGACACCGAGTCGTCCAGGTCAACGATCCGGAGCTCAGCCGACTTGACTGGTCTCGTGACCCGGACGTCCTCGTGCAGGACCTCCTCAATTTTGGCAGCCAATGCGTCCGCTGCCTCGCCTGTGTTGGTGCCGGGAATCTCTAAGATACGGGCCCCGGTCCTTCCGACTCTGAACCTCAGGTCGGTGATACCGAGCGGGACCAAAGATATTTTGGCCTTCGCCTCGGTGAGCACCGACCTGTAGGTGACGCCCCTCGCCTCGGCTCCCGGCGTCATGGTCAGGACCACTGCCGATGACCGAGGGGGGCGTGCTTTCACCTTCCTCCTCTTCTTGGACCTCTGCGGTTCCTCTGCGGTTTGGCCGCCGCGTGGCCCCTTCGCAGGCTGCGTTTTGGCGGGAGCTGCCTGGCTTGCGCCAGCGCCTTTCCGCTTCCCGCGTCGCACAACCGTCGACCAGCCCTCCGCATTTGTTGCCGAGGTTGACGGCTGTGGGGCGCGTCCGCCACTGGGCTCCCGTTGCGGGGCCCTGTTAGTCCCTGGACCGGATGATCCGGCAGTAGGCACACTTTTGACCTTTGGAGGCCGTCTCCCCTTCGCCGAGATCCGCTCTTCCATCTCGGCGAAGCGGCTCTCCATCATTTCGCCTACTCGCCGGATAATCCGGTCTTCGGCATCCTCCCTTAGGACCCGGGGCGGGGTACCTCCCGGCGCAGCCGCCGCCGTTCCGCCAACTACGACTGCAGGGAGCTCAGCCGCAGTCTTCAGCCTCTCCACCTCCTGCAAGGCCTTCTGAAGGGCGCGTCGGTCTAGAGCGTTCAGTTGCTTCAACTCCTCCAGCTTCTGAACGCTCTCCCGCGTTTGCCGTTCCCACCCCTCTCTCTCTGCCTTTAGGGCTGCCAGCTCATCAGCCAGCGCGGCAGAAGATTGCGACGCCATGCGTAGCTCCCGGAATTTCTTCCGCTCCTCCACGGCCTCTTTTAACATGGCCCTCTTCATCTCCTGTACGGTGTGGAGCTCTGCGCGCAGTTTTTGGACCTCTCTCCTGAGGGAGTCCTCTTCGGAGTTGGGGCCCGATCTCGCCTTTAGAACGTCCGCCGCCGAACAGATCGCATAGACTGCGCTCTTTATCTCCCTGACAATAGTGCCCTTCAGGTTCCTCGATTTCTTCACTGCTTCGAGTACCTGACGGGCACTATTCCCAACTTTGGTCCCAAGCTCGTCGGAACCCAGCATGTGGTCATCCTCGGTCGCTCTTATGGCTGCAAGAGCCCCAGACCCGGAGGACTCGGCTTCGGCTTCGGATGCTGAAACCTCTGTCTCCATACGCGATCCGGGTGTGGCCGTTCGCATTCCTCCTCTGACTCGACCAGTTCTAGACCCAGCCGAGGAAACCTCGACCAGGTCGACCTCGTCGTCATCGTCGGAGTCTAGCTCCCGACGCTTCTCCACAATTCGCCTTTTCCTGTGTTTCTTGGGCGGCGAGGTACTCCCTCTCGCCAGCCCAAGGCTGTCTTCGGACCTTATAGACAGCGAGGATCCAGTCCGCTCGGAGTCCAGTTGTGCCTCCATCTCTATCGCCTTGAGCGCCTCTAGTTCTTCGTAGGCCTCAACACGTCTCGTCATCATCTCCCTATACTGCTCTTGAATGCTGGTCGTGTCCCCCCCAGAAGACGTGGGACAGCCCACCCCCGGCAAATCCGGTGCGGTGGAGGAGGATTCTCCGGTCGCTGAACGACCGGTACCTCCCTGGGGTAATTCCTTTTTGCGATCAGACATTTTCATTGCTATCCTTTTTACGGGTGTGGTCCCGAACTCCCGCCAACGACGACGAAAAGGAAAGAGAAAAATAAACCAAAAGACAGAAAGACAAAAGATAGAAACAGACAGAGAATAACCAAAACAAATAAACACCAAAATAATTGAAATAAAACAAAAAAAAAAAAAAAGAAGACGAAACAAACCGAAAACAAAAGAAGAAACGAACCAAAAATAAAAACGAAGGAAAGTTGGGGGGGTTCGCCGGCTCCGGCAGCCTCGACTTTGTCGAGGCATGGGAACCGCGAACACGCCCAACCCGCCGGGCTACTGGCCGACATAGTAGCCGTATCCCGAAGGAACGACTACTATCCCGCCCGGGGCGTACCAGAACCAAACCATTGCTCGGCCACCGTTCCCCGCGGACGTATCCACGAGGATGGGGAAGCCTCCCAATGGCAGGCCCATACTAGGAGGTTGCCCGACCACACGCCCCAACCTAACCTTTTTTTTTTTTTTTTTAACGAGGGGAAAGGTTTCAATACCGAAACGTCCGCCTTTATGAAGGGGAGCGGACGAATACTGTGGGACTGGACGAATCCGACCCACCAAAACCCCTCGGTGTTCCTCCAAAAACCACGAAAGACGCCTTCGTGCGGGTTCGCATTTGCATTCAACCGCACTCCGGCCGCGGGTCTCCAGTGAAGGAGCCGCCGAAGTTGGGCGCGGGGACCACTCCACGCCCACACTCCACGGATCACTCGCCTCCTGGGAACTTCGGATGCCCCTACATCCTCCGCTCCGAGTGTCCAAGTTGGGGCTTCGGGTGAGAATACACCTTCCGCCCCCCACGCAAAGGCCGCGATCGCCGCTGCGTTGCGCTAGAAGCGCACCGCAGCCGCGACCGCGTATAGCCTTCCCGCCGGACGGAAGCGGTCCTGAAGGCACCGCTCCGCCCGGTGCCCCGACGGGTCGGGGCGACACACGCATACTTACCTTCGGCGACGTACTCCCTGCGCCGTCAGCAGTCTGCCCACCAAGCCGCACCAAGGCGCAGCCCGGGGATGTCCTCCGCAGATAGGACTCCCGATCTTAACATGTTAAAATCGGGAGCTGCCTACTCGTGAATACTTACCCAGATTCGCGATGCGCCTCCGGGACCGTATCCTCCATAAGCACTACCGCGCCACACGGTTAAACCGTAGGCGCCGGTAGTGTTGCCTCCTCGAGTGTTGCCCAGCATCCGAAGACGCCTAGCAACGATCCTCCCGCTGTCTTCTCACGCCGCGTCGACTCCGTCGTCTGCGGGCGCTCCTCGCCCGGACGACGTCCTCCTCGTCGACAGCCGCGCCGACCGCCAGAGGTTTTTTAAGAGGTTGTCTCCTCGCAGCCCCGAGCGAACCCAGGGCCCCCGTTCTCACACTGGGCGGACGACCACTGTCATCACACCCAGTGCAAGTTTACGGTATGAAGATACACTCGCAGTCTTCGCCAGAGACAACTCCGTCGTCTACGGGCACTCCTGCCCGCAACTCCGTCCTCCTCATGACTCTGACTCCGACCGCGAGTGGTTTTTTATAGAGGTTGTCTCCTCGCAGCCCCGAGCGAACCCAGGGCCCCCGCTCCCACACCGGGCGGACGACCTCCTGTCATCACACCCAGTGCAAGTTTACGGTATGAAGGTACACTCGCAGTCTTGGCCAGAGATAACTCCGTCGTCTACGGGCACTCCTGCCCGCAACTCCGTCCTCCTCATCAACTCTGACGCCGACCGCGAGCGGTTTTTTATAGAGGTTGGCTCCTCGCAGCCCTGGGCGAACCCAGGGCCCCCGCTCTCACACTAGGTGGACGACCTCCTGTCATCAACACCCAGTGCAAGTTTGCGGTGTGAGTCAGTCCGGCTGTGCGCAAAGCACCACCGGACCCGACCCGAATGCTTCGCTCACGGCCTGGACGGGTCCCGGTTGGGGTCAGGACCCATTGTCCTAGCCGCTCGCGTCGCCCTCTCGCCGAAATCGGCCTAGGTGGCACGCCACCATAATTGGACGGGCGCCGTTAAACAGCGCCCCCTACTCGCCGGGCTACTGGCCGACATAGTAGCAGTATCCCGAAGGAACGTCTACTATCCCGCCCGGGGCGTACCAGAACCAAACCATTGCTCGGCCACCGTTTCCCGCGGACGTATCCACGAGGATGGGGAAGCCTCCCAATGGCAGGCCCATACTAGGAGGTTGCCCGACCACACGCCCCAACCTAACCTAACCTTTTTTTTTTTTTTTTTACAAGGGGAAATCCATCATGGAGACCCGCACGCCCCGGGGGAAGCGTGGGGGTACTGCCGGACTCCTACCGGCTAAAACCCCTTGGTGTCCTCCGAGCGCTTTGGTGCCGGGGTTACGGGATCATGATGATATTCAACCGTAAACCCCGGCAGCGCGGGCTATTCAGCCCCACTCCTGAGTGGCGCGCGCGGACACCACGCGCGCCAACTCCTGGCCTCATCCCGCCTTAGGTGACAGCCGACGCCCCCGCATCGGCTGCCGCGAGGCCCATGGTGGGAGGTGACGGGCCGGACTCGGCCTCCATCTCCTCCACTCTCGCCGCCTGTTTTGGCGGACGGCACCCCTTGGTGCTGCCCATCCTGTGGTCCGCCTTCTTCTTGGCCGCTGCACAGTACCTTAGTGTGGCGAAGGGCGGTGCACGATGCGGCCTTGTGGCCGTCTTGACCGCAGCGGAAACAGACTCCGCCGCGGTCCTCCTTGGCGGTGCATCGCTGGCCCACGTGACCCGTGAGCAGGCAGCGGTAGCACCGCATCGGCCGGGGGTCTAAGGACCGCACCCGCGCCATTGTCCACCCAAGTTTGAGTCGGCCAGCGTCGACCAGCCGCTTCACCGTCCCGACCGGGCACCGGACCCACACAGAACCACTCCCGAGGGAGAGCGCCGGATCTCCCCCGTTTTCACGGAGGCCTCGGCGCAGTCTCCCTCTCGTGCTACGGCTGCCACCACATCGGCTACCGTTGTAGCATCGTCCAGGTCCAGTATGCGGATTTCCGCGCACTTTACTGGCCTGGTTACGCCGACTACTCCTGCCGGTAAGACCTCGGCAAGTTTAGCAGCGAGGGCATCTGCCTTCCCGCCACTCTCCTCCACTGGGCCCGGTACCTCTAGGATACGAGACCCCGTTATTCCTAGCCTAAAGCCCAGCTCGGTGATTCCGAGGGCCCCTAACTGGATCTTCTGTTGGGCCTCCCGGAGCACCGAGCTGTAGCTAGATCCCGCCTCCGCAGCTCCCGGCTTCAGTGTTAACACTATCGCCGAGGAGCGCGGTGGGCGGAACTGCCTCCTGCGTGTCTTCTTCCGGGCGTCCTCACTTTGGGCCTCCTTCTGGGATGGTCCCGTCCCTCCAGTGGGCGTCTGGGTGGCTGGGGCAGACTCCTTGCCCTTCGCCCCCCTGGCGCGATTCCCACGACGGACGACCGTCGTCCACTGCTCCTGTGTCGAGGGCGGCGGCTGAGAGCGCTCACCCCTGCTCTGCTAGTACTGGCTACTGGGCCGTACTTGCTCCTCCTTTCTTGGCTGCCCCAGGTGTTCGGGGTGCTGCTGTTGTCCTTTTAGGCGGCGGTTGTTGAGGCCTGCCCATGAGCTCTTCTATCCTCTCAAACCGGGCATTAAAAATGTCCCCGATTTGACGGACTATTCTCGCCTCGACGCCCTCGGTGATGGGTGGCGTTTCGCTCGACTCAACACCTTGGGCGCCGGATGTCACATCCATGGCCGCACTTTGTGGCTGGTTCGCCAGTGCGACTTTGGCTGCCGCCAGTTCACTTTGCGCCTTTGACAGCGCCAAGCGGTCCTCCGAACTCTTCTTCATTAACTCCTGGAAGGAGTTGCGGGTTGCGGCGATCTCGCGCTCCCATTCTGCCCTCTCCGCCTTGAGCATCGCCAGTTCGTCGGAGCTCTGGGCGGCAGACCCCATGGTCTTCCTCTTCAAATCCCTCAGTTCCACGTAGTACTTGGCGGACTCTTCCCTCATTGCGGTCATCATCTCCCGCATGTCCGCCAAGTCACGTGACAACCGGGGATTCTCTCGGCGCAGAGCTGCGCACTCGGTTGACGCTGTCCTCCCGTCAAGAGATTCAGACGCCGCGCGGATGGTAGCGACGGCGTCCTTTATCTCCTTCACTACTGTGCCCTTCAAGTGGCCGGATTTCCTCACAGCCTCTAGAACCTTGAGGGCACTCTCTTTAATCTCCGTCACTAACACGTCGGCGCGCTTCGCGTCCTCATCTGAGGGTCTGCGGGTGGTAGGGCGCGCCGCCGGTTTCGGAGCACTCGCTTTCTTCGGTGCGGGTCTTGCCTCCGTCTCCATTTCTCTCCGGGTGGCGGCGGCCAAATCGGCCTTCGCCTTCTCCAAGTCCGGGTCCTTCGGTGGTGGCCTCTGCTTAGACCTTGGGGTTGCGACCACTTCCACAACCTCCACCTCCTCATCGAATGTCATATCCGGGTAAACTTCCACCTCAATCATTCTCCGTTTGCGCAGCGAAGCCCTAGATGTGCTGGGCTCGCTTCCTCCTGCAGCGCCATCCTCAGAATACAGTGAGAGCGACGAGTCGGAGCGCTCCATGTAGTACTCCGCCTCGTCACACTCACTCCTGCTCCTCCTATCCAAAGTCACGTCCCTCATCAACACCACCTTTGCCTCTCTTCCACTCACAACCACTCCCTCTCCTCTGGCCTCGGTTGCCCCCTCCAGATACACGGGGCTGACCGCCCCCGGCTTACCCGGTGCGACGGTGGAGGATTCTCCACCCGATTTACGGGTGGTACCTCCCTGGAGTATTTTGTTTAAACGCTCGGCCATTTTCATCTTTTGTTCCTTTTTTACCCGGGTTTGGTCCCGCATACAAAAATAGAAAAGGAAGAAGAAAACAAAATAAAACTAGAAAGAACAAAGGATAGAAAAGAATAGACTAAAACAACTAAAAGAACCAAAAAATAAAATGAAGAAAAAACAAAAGAAGACAAAACAAGAAGAATTTACAGAACTAACCTAACTATTTACAAATAAATAACTTAACCTAACTATATACACTATATACACTCCTACCTACTCGCCGGACTATCGGCCGACATAGTAGCAGTATCCCGAAGGAACGTCTACTATCCCGCCCAGGGCGTATCAGAACCAAACCATTGCTCGGCCACCGTTCCCCGCGGACGTATCCACGAGGATGGGGAAGCCTCCCAATGGCAGGCCCATACTTGGAGGTTGCCCGACACACGCCCCCCCCCCCAACCTTTTTTTTTTTTTTTTTTTTTTTTTCAGGAAAATCCGTCATGGAGACCCATTCGCCATAGGGAGCGAATGGGTACTGCCGGACTCCTACCGGCTAAAAACCTGATGGTATACCTCTCAGCCCGTGGCGGGCGAGGTCGCGGGAACAGAGAGACATTCTTCCGCTTCCCCGCCCTGGGCTCGGATGGACACTCCCGGAAGGCGCCGCGGGGTATACGCCGGGCGCCTCCGCTCGGGCCACTGACCTTCATGGAGCTTTGGATGGCCCTACCCATCCGCCGCTCTGTGGCCCAAGTTGGATTGGACGGACCTACGTGTCCATCTTCTCCCCTCCACTTCCGCCGGCCGGCGCGGGTGCACGGGCCTTAGGAGCGCGGCATTGCTTGCCGCTGCCTATCCGGTGGTCGGCGTCGCGACCAGCCGCCGCGCAATACCGACAATGCGGCTTTGGCGCGACGCACGACGCGGCCTTGTGACCGGCCTGTCCGCAGCGGAAGCACATGCCGCCGCAGTCCTCTCTCGCGGTGCACCGCTGTCCCACATGCCCCGTGAGAAGGCAGCGGTAGCACCGCAGTGGCCTCGGGTCTAGTGCGAACACCCGCGCCATGGTCCACCCTATCTTTACCCTGCCGGCATCAGTGAGGGCCTTCGCCGCCGCCACTGGGCAGCGCACCCATAAGGTGCCCACTCCTGAGGGGGTGCGTCGGATTTCCCCCGACTTGACGGTTTCTACCGCGCACCCCCCCACCCGCGCAACCGCGGCAACGACGTCGGCTGTTGTAGCCGAGTCGTCCAGGTCTCCGATTCGAAGTTCCGCGGACTTCATCGGCCTGGAGACCCGGACGGACCCTTCTGGCAGAAGTGCTGCCAGCTTCTCAGCCAGCAGGTCTGCTTTACCACCGGAGTCTACGCCTGGCACCTCGAGGATGCGTGCTCCGGTGATGGCCGGCTTGTATCGGAGTTCGGTGATCCCGATCTCCGCGAGGGAGATTTTCTCCTTCGCCTCGCGGAGCACCGACCCGTACGTCATGCCCCTCTCCTCGGCACCCGGCTGTATGGTCAAAACGACCGCCGCAGACCGAGGGGGGCGTAGCCTCCTCTTCCTCCTCATCTCTTCCGCCGCCTTGGTGTTTGCTGGCTGAGTTGCCGGCACCCCTGATGTTGTGGCCGCCTGACTTGCGGCAGGGACCTTCGCCGGTTTTGTCGCCGCATTGCGTTTGCCCCGCCGAACAACCGTCGTCCACTCCTCCGTTGTATTGCTGGACGACAGTGTCTGGGAGGGACCCGCACTGGTGCTGGCGACCGGAGCTGGTTGCTCCGTGGAGTCCTTCTTCTTGGGCGCGGCCGTGGTAGCCCGCGTGGCGGGCGGCGGCTGCGCAGCCTTCGTAGTGTCCCGTTTTGGGGGCGACTTTTTCTTCCCTTTTTTTCCCGTTTGGGGAAGCCCCTCCTCCAGTTTGGCAAATCGGGCGTTAAAAAGTTCCCCGATTTGCCTCACTATCCGACTCTCCATATCCTCGCTCGGTGCAGGTGTTACCGGCGAGTCATTTTCTGTCACTTCCATACCGGTAGGTGACGGGACCGGCTGTTCGGAGGCCTGTGATGCACTCCGGAGCGCTTTACGAAGCGCGACCTCACTTTTGAGGAACTTTTGCTTCAACTCTACGGTCTCTGACACGTATCGTTGAAGCTGAACCTCCAATTTGGCGTTCTCCTCCTTGAGCCGAGCGACCTCCGTCGGCTCCGGCCCAGGTGTTCCGGCCTTCTTTTTGTTTCCGCGGAGTTCCGCAATCTCCCTATCCATCTGCGCGAACTCGACGCGAAAACCCGCCATCATCTCTTTGAGGTCGAAGACCTCCTTCTCCAGCCGTGAGTTAGCGGCTCTAAGGCGCGCGCATTCCGCAGTCGCCGACCTGCTTACGAGCACCTCCGATGCCCGACGAATCGAGGCAACGGAGTCCTTGATGACCTTTATGATCTCGCCCTTGATGTGACCTGATCGGCGCACTGCGTCCAAGATCTGATGCGCCTCGCCGTCCACCTGCTTGCCTAACTCTTCGGCGTGGCGCAACTCCTCCTCTTGTGACGGACGCCGAAACACCGGTCGCGCCGCCGATTTCTTCGACGACACATCCGACGCCCCGTCGTCCGAGTCCGTCCTGGCATTCACGGGCGTCACCCGTTTTCTTTTCCTCTGGCCGGTTTTCGGCATTTCCCTACTCATTGCCGCATCGACCTCCGAGTACAGCGACAAGGATGAGGCTGTAAGCTCGGAGTCGTAGTCCATCTCCAGGTATGCACTAGGGGTATATGGAACACTGGGTCCCGACCCCGAAGCGCTATGTCTCGTCCTTGATGTGGCGCCGCCTATTGACTCACTTCTACTGCGAGTCAGCCTGACTGCGCACTCTTTAAGTACCACGTCCTTCGCGGACCCACTCGGTTCTCCGTCCTTCTCGGACACTCTTCGTTCACCGTCCTTCTCGGACACTCTTCGTACACCGTCCTTCACGGACCCAACGTCGGATTGTTTTTTGTTTATCTCCATATTTGTTCCCACGAGTGTGGGGGAAAGGTTGCACAGCCGGCGTTGCCCCCTGCTACCGACTGCGGCCTAATACGCTTTGGGTGCGGCAGGTGCCCAAAGGTTGGTGCCCTTGCGGCCGAAGTTACTCCTCCGACCCGGCCGCCCCGGGGAACACGCTAACTGAAATAAATTCCAGCAGCGTGCTCCGCAGGACGACCTGTCCCTCGCCAGGCACCGAGCTTAGACAAGAGGTTTTTTATAGAGGTTGACTCCTCGCGGCCCCGGGCGATTAAGCCAAGAGCCCCCGCTCCCACACTGGGCCGATAGACGTGATCACCGACACCCAGTGCAAGTTTACGGTTTGAAGTCAGTTGCACCGAAGTGCTGTCCGGCTGCGCAGTTAAGCACCCACCGGACCTGACTTGCCAGTAGGCAAAGAAGAAACAAGGAGAAAAGAAAACAGAACAATAGGAAAGATTCGAAGAAAGAAAAGACAAAAGACGAAAACAGAAAAAGAGAAAAGAAGTGCCTACCCCTACTCGCCGGACTATCGGCCGACATAGTAGCAGTATCCCGAAGGAACGTCTACTATCCCGCCCAGGGCGTACCAGAACCAAACCATTGCTCGGCCACCGTTCCCCGCGGACGTATCCACGAGGATGGGGAAGCCTCCCAATGGCAGGCCCATACTTGGAGGTTGCCCGACACACGCCCCAACCTTTTTTTCAACCTTTTTTTTTTTTTTTTTTTTTTTTTTTTTTTTTTTTTTTTTTTTTTTTTTTTTTTTTTTTCACTTGGAGAAAATCCCTCATGGAGACCCGCCGGCCCCGGGGGAGGCCCGCGGGTACTGTGAGACTCCTACTCACTAAAAACTCCAAGATGTCCCTCACCCAACGCCATATGCCGGAGTCGCGGGATCAAATTATACTCTACCGCAACTCCGACGGCGGTGGCCCACTCTACAGCGGGCCCCATCTCTGCGGGTTCCCTTTGGAACCCACCACTTCCCCCGTCTTCCCTGGGGAAGGCGCGCGGGGACATGCGCGCGACTTCTTCGGGCCTAGTGTGATGGGGTGGGACCGCCCCCGCGGTCGTCACCCCGGCCCGGTAGCGATCTAGGGGCGGCTTGGGCCGCCCTGCCTGCTTGATCGCTGGGAGGGGAGGTGTCCATCCCCTCCTCTGCCCCACTCCTACGGCCTGGGACCTGTGAGGCGGGCCGTTTCCCTCCCTTCCTTTTGGGCGGGGTGCACTTGTTGCTCCCCACCCAGTGGTCTGCCGGCCGGCCCTGTGATGCGCAGACAACACATCTAGGGGCGGCGGTGCACACTGCGGCTTTGTGCCCGTTTTCACCGCACCGGTAACAAAGACCGCTGCGGTCCTCCTTTTGGGTGCACTGACCTCTCACATGCCCGCTCTGCAGGCACCGGAAACACCGCAACGGCCTTTGCCGCAGCAGCTCCGCCTTCGCTGTCACCCACCCGAGGCGGATGTGCCCTTTGGTGGTGACTTTCTTGACCCCCATCACTGGGCCGCGGACCCAACATGACCCTAGGCTAGAGGGACTGCTTCGGCGGATTTCCCCTACACGTACATCCTCCGCGTTGCATTCCCCGTCGCGCGCTATAGCAGCGGCGATTTCCTCCGGCGTCACAGAGTCATCCAGACCCATAATCCGCATTTCTGCAGTTTTTGAGGGCCTGGAGACCTTGGCCACGTCCTCCGGGATTAGTGCCCGGAGTTTCGACGCCAGAGCGTCAGCCTTCTCTGCACAAGCGGTGCCGGAAATTTCGAGGATCCGCCCCCCAGTGATTGCGGGCCTAAGCCGCATGTCCTCTATTCCGAGGGGGCGGAGGTCGATCTTTCCTTTTGCCTCGCGGAGGATGTTGGCGTAACTGACGCCCTCCTTTTCCGCCGCCTCTCCGATGGTAATTACCACCGCCGCAGAGCGGGGCGGCTTTAGCCTCGAAGGAAGCGGCGGGCCAGTCTTCTTTGGGGGCGTCGAGTTCACCTTCTTCTTCGCCGGTTGGGGATCGGCGACCGCCTCTTGGCCGGGTACTGTGGCCATCTTTCCCCGGCTACCCCTCACCACCGTTGCCCACGAGGAACATCCGGCAGCTGGCTGTGTCGCTGGGATAGTCGGGGGCTCCACCGCGGGGGGCTGCCCCTGCGGCGCAGATTTTCGCGCCTTCTTTCCCTTTGCGGCCTTTTGGCTTTGGGGAGCAGGACCCCGGTCTTCTTCGCTTGGAGCGACAGGCTGTGACACCGCTGCTCCTTGCTCCGCCTGCGCAAGTTGGTCGGCGCTTGATGGGGAGGGCTTAGGAAGCCTGGTGTTCACTTCCTCCATGAACTGCCCCATCAAGTTCCCCATCATGGAGCGTACTGTGCCCCCGACGTCCCTCATAATTTGGGCCCTGAAAGACTTTAAGTCGTCCAACGAGGGCCCGCCTCCTGGAGTGGCCTTAGCCGGTGCCGCTTTTGCAGCTCGGAGTTCAGCCACTTCCTTGCGGAGTTCCTCCACCTCCCTTTCCAGCCGGAGATTTCGGGCCAGGATGGGCGCGACAGAGCGCGGGACCACATCAGCCGATAGGGCGCCTATTATCCGGTTTATTCCGGCAAGTCCCTCTTTCATGTCCCTGATCGACGTACCCTTTAGGTTACCGGATTTCCGGATTAACTCTGCGATGGCCTCTGTGTGCTCATACACTGCGAGACGAACTCTATCTATCGCCTCATTCGCCGCAGTGTTGCCATCTTCTTGAGGTGTTTTAGGTGGTACATCCTCTACCGTCACGTCCGGGTTCATCGCCGATTTTCCTCCTTCGAAGAATTCATACCGGAACGAGTCCAGTTCTTTCCTCTTTGCAGCCGATATTCTGCTTTTGGCACCAGCGCTTCTTTTCTTCCCCTCCTTCTTTGAAGAGCGACTGGTGTTTGCCGCCGACGAGTCTGAGTCATATTCAGACAGGCGCCTTTTGCGCCCGGATGGCGCGGCATCCTCAAACTCCATCTCATCCATAGTTGTTGCCCGCGAGCTCGACCGCGAAGAACCGCAGTCGATCCCGCGCGCAACCTTAGACCTAGTCCTTCGCGCCACTCTTTGGTCCGTCACCTCCGCTCCCGACATTGACCACAACTCCACGTCCGTGTTTCCAAGGCCTCTAGGGCCAGTCTCCTCTGACACCTTCCTATCCAGCACCACGATGCACTCCCTTGCCATCACTTCCTTCACCACCTTTTCCGCCATTTCCACGTCCTTCTCGGACACTCTCTTCACTACGTCCTTCTCAGACACCTCATCATTTTTTTGTTTTTTGTCCATTTCCATTTTAGTCCCACGAGTAGTGGAGAAAGTTGCACAGTAGGCAGAGCTCCTATACCTATCTGCGGCCTCATACGACTGAGTGCGGCTAGTTCTCAGAAGTTGGTGCCCTCGCGGCCGAAGTTACTCCTCCGACCCGGACGCCCCGGGAAACACGCTAGCTGAAATAAAATTCCAGCAGCGTGCTCAGCAGGACGACCTGTCCCTCGCCGGGCACCGAGCTTAAACAAGAGGTTTTTTATAGAGGTTGACTCCTCGCGGCCCCGGGCAATTAAGCCAAGAGCCCCCGCTCCCACACTGGGCCGATAGACGTGATCACCGACACCCAGTGCAAGTTTACGGTTTGAAGTCAGTTGCACCGAAGTGCTGTCCGGCTGCGCAGTTAAGCACCCACCGGACCTGACTTGCCAGTAGGCAAAGAAGAAAAAGAAGAAACGAAAACAGAACGACAGAAAAGATTGGAAGAGAAAGAAAAGAAAAAGACGAAAACAGAAAAAGACAAAAGGAAGTGCCTACTCCTACTCGCCGGACTATCGGCCGACATAGTAGCAGTATCCCGAAGGAACGTCTACTATCCCGCCCAGGGCGTACCAGAACCAAACCATTGCTCGGCCACCGTTCCCCGCGGACGTATCCACGAGGATGGGGAAGCCTCCCAATGGATGGCCCATACTTGGAGGTTGCCCGACACACGCCCCCTAAACACACGCCCCAACCTAACCTTTTTTTTTTTTTTTTTTTTAACGAGGGGAAAGGTTTCTATACCGAAACGTCCGCCTTTATGAAGGGGAGCGGACGAATACTGTGGGACTGGACGAATCCGACCCACCAAAACCCCTCGGTGTTCCTCCATGAACCACGAAAGACGCCTTCGTGCGGGTTCGCATTTGCATTCGACCGCACTCCGGCCGCGGGTCTCCAGTGAAGGAGCCGCCGAAGTTGGGCGCGGGGACCACTCCACGCCCACACTCCACGGATCACTCGCCTCCTGGGAACTTCGGATGCCCCTACATCCTCCGCTCCGAGTGTCCAAGTTGGGGCTTCGGGTGAAAAATACACCTTCCGCCCCCCACGCAAAGGCCGCGATCGCCGCTGCGTTGCGCTAGAAGCGCACCGCAGCCGCGACCGCGTATAGCCTTCCCGCCGGACGGAAGCGGTCCTGAAGGCACCGCTCCGCCCGGTGCCCCGACGGGTCGGGGCGACACACGCATACTTACCTTCGGCGACGTACTCCCTGCGCCGTCAGCAGTCTGCCCACCAAACCGCACCAAGGAGCAGCCCGGGGATGTCCTCCGCAGATAGGACTCCCGATCTTAACATGTTAAAATCGGGAGCTGCCCACTCGTGAATACTTACCCAGATTCGCGATGCGCCTCCGGGACCGTATCCTCCGTAAGCACTACCGCGCCACACGGTTAAACCGTAGGCGCCGGTAGTGTTGCCTCCTCGAATGTTGCCCAGCATCCGAAGACGCCTAGCAACGATCCTCCCGCTGTCTTCTCACGCCGCGTCGACTCCGTCGTCTGCGGGCGCTCCTCGCCCGGACGACGTCCTCCTCGTCGACAGCCGCGCCGACCGCCAGAGGTTTTTTATAGAGGTTGTCTCCTCGCAGCCCCGGGCGAACCCAGGGCCCCCGTTCTCACACTGGGCGGACGACCACTGTCATCACACCCAGTGCAAGTTTACGGTATGAAGATACACTCGCAGTCTTCGCCAGAGACAACTCCGTCGTCTACGGGCACTCCTGCCCGCAACTCCGTCCTCCTCATGACTCTGACTCCGACCGCGAGAGGTTTTTTATAGAGGTTGTCTCCTCGCAGCCCCGAGCGAACCCAGGGCCCCCGCTCCCACACCGAGCGGACGACCTCCTGTCATCACACCCGGTGCAAGTTTACGGTATGATGATACACTCGCAGTCTTGGCCAGAGACAACTCCGTCGTCTACGGGCACTCCTGCCCGCAACTCCGTCCTCCTCATCAACTCTGACCCGACCGCGAGCGGTTTTTTATAGAGGTTGGCTCCTCGCAGCCCCGGGCGAACCCAGGACCCCCGCTCTCACACTAAGTGGACGACCTCCTGTCATCAACACCCAGTGCAAGTTTGCGGTGTGAGTCAGTCCGGCTATGCGCAAGGCACCACCGGACCCGACCCGAATGCTTCGCTCACGGCCTGGACGGGTCCCGGTTGGGGTCAGGACCCATTGTCCTAGTCGCTCGCGTCGCCCTCTCGCCGAAATCGGCCTAGGTGGCACGCCACCATAATTGGACGGGCGCCGTTAAACAGCGCCCACCCCCTACTCGCCGGGCTACGCCCCAACCTAACCTAACCTTTTTTTTTTTTTTTTTTTTTTTTTTTTTTTTTTTTTTTTTTTTTTTTTTTTACTTGGAGAAAATCCGTCATGGAGACCCGCCGGCCCCGGGGGAAGCCCGCGGGTACTGTGAGACTCCTACTCACTAAAAACTCCAAGATGTCCCTCATCCAACGCCATGTGCCGGAGTCGCGGGATCAGGTTATAGTCGACCGCAACTCCGACGGCGGTGGCCCACCTAGTAGCGGGCCCCATCTCTGCGGGTTCCCTACCGGAACCCACCACTTCCCCCTTCTTCCCTGGGGAAGGCGCGCGGGGACATGCGCGCGACTTCTTCGGGCCTAGTTCGGTGGAGTGGGACCGCCCCCGCGGTCGTCACCCCGGCCCGGTAGCGATCTAGGGGCAACTTGCGCCGCCCCTGCCTCCTCGATCGCTAGGAGGGGAGTTGATGTCCATCCCCTCCTCTGCACCACTCCTACGGCCTGGGACCTGTGAGGCGGCGTTTCCCTCCTTTGCTTCTGGGCGGGGTGCACTTCTTGCTCCCCACCCAGTGATCCGCCGGACGGCCCGTCGACGCGCAGAGTGCGCATCTTGGGGTCGCGGCACACCCGGCGACTTTATGTCCGACTTCCCCGCATCGGTAGCATAGACCGCTGCGGTCTTCTTCCTGCGTGCACTGACTTCTAGGGTGCCCACTCTGTAGGCACCGGAAGCACCGCAGCGGTCTTTGCCGCAGCAGCTCCACCTTTGCGGACACCCAGCCAAGCCGGATATGCCCCTCAGTGGTGACCTTTTTCACGGCCCCCACCGGGCCGCGGACCCAGCAAGACCCCAAGGCTTTAGGGCTGCTCCTCCTTATTTCGCCGACCCTTACCTCCTCGGCATTGCACTCTCCGTCATGCGCAACGGCGGCGGCGATGTCCTCCGGCGTCAAAGAGTCGTCCAGGCCCATGACCCGCATTTCCGCGGTCTTTGAAGGCCTGGAGACCGTGGCCACATCTTCCGGGATTAGGGCCCGGAGTTTGGACGCAAGCGCATCGGCCTTCTCGGCGTTGGAAGTGCCGGAGACTTCAAGTATCAGCCCCCCGGTAATCGCGGGTCGAAGCCGCAAGCCGTCTATTCCGAGGGGGCGGAGATCTATTTTGTCCTTGGCCTCGCGTAGGATGTTGGCGTAAGTGACGCCCTCTTTTTCAGCCGCTTCCCCGATGGTTATGACCACCGCCGCAGAGCGGGGCAGCCGTAACTTTGCAGGGAGCGGCGGACTCATCTTCTTTTTGGGCGTCTCCTTAGCCTTCTTTGCCGCCTGAGTGGCGGTGGCCGTCTCCTGGTTTTGGGGGACCGTGGTCATCTTCCTCCGACTTCCCCTCACCACCTTAGCCCATGACGAGCTGCCGGCGGTGGGTTGTGTGGCTGGAATAGCCGGGGATTCCACTGCTGGGGGTTGTCCCTGGGGCGCAGTTTTGCTCGCCCTCTTTGTCTTGGCCTTGGACCCGCCTTTTTGGCCTGGGGGTCAGAACCCCGACCTCCTACTTCTGGGGCAGGCTGGGAGGCCACCGCGTCTTGGGACTGCTCCAAGAGGGTTGCCGCTGGTGCGGGTTGTACTGCACTGGGAAGGGGGGATTTTCAATCTTTTCCCGGACTTCCTCCATGAATTGGGTCATCATTTTCCCCACAATTGTGCGGACAGTGCTGCCGACGTCCCTCATAATTTGGGCCCTAAGAGTGCCCAGCTCCTCGTTTTGGGGTGCTTCCGCCTTCTTCGCCGGCCCGGCCGCTTTTGCGGTGCGGAGCTTGGCTACCTCCTTGCGAAGTTCGCCTACTTCCTGTTGGAGCCGGAGGTTCCGGACCATCAGGGACGTGACTGAACTCGGGACAGAGTCACTCTCCAGGGTGCTCATTACTCTATTAATCCCGGTCAGCCCTTCCTTCATTGTCTTAACGAAGGTCCCCTTCAGGTTTCCGGACCTCCGGATGGCGTCTTCTATGACCGCCGTATGGTCGAGAACCGACAGGCGAACCCTGCGGATGATCTCTGCAGCCTCCTCATTCCGCGCATCCTTTCCACCGTCGAAGAATTCGTAGCGGAAGGCTTCCAGCTCTTTTCTTTTTTGCGCCGACACCCGTGACTTAGGGCCGGCGGCCTTCTCTCTCCCCTCCTGAAGTGGGCGGTTTTCCGCCGCCGATGTCTCATCCGAGTAGGCCTCCGAGAGACGCCTTTTGCGCCCTGGTGGCAATGTCTCGTCCAGGTCCATATCAGACAGGCCTGTGCACGAGCTCGCCCGCGAAGAACCGCAGTCGATCCCGCGAACAGACCTGGATCTTGTCCTTCTGGCCCAGTGTTCCAGGTCCGAGATTTGTTCCCGGCTGGGGCCAGCCTCTTCAAAGTCAGTCCGGTCACTCCTAGTCAACACAACCGCGCACTCCTTCAAAGTAACTCCGTCCTTCTCGGACTCCCTTCGCACACCGTCCTTCGCGGACACCATCGTCGCTACGTCCTTCTCGGACACCTCGTCATTGGTTTTTTTGTTCATTTCCATCTTGTTCCCACGAGTAGTGGAGAAAGTTGCACAGTAGGCAGAGCTCCTATACCTATCTGCGGCCTCATACGACTGAGTGCGGCTAGTTCTCAGAAGGTGGTGCCCTCGCGGCCGAAGTTACTCCTCCGACCCGGACGCCCCGGGGAACACGCTAGCCGAA